TAAAAGGTGAATTCAGCCAGGTGAGTCCCTGAAATCTGTATAATCAGGAGGTTTATTTGCTCATTCATAAACTATTTGCATTTTTGGTAGAGGTCCCTAAGTTTGCTTTAGTTTTGAAGGATACAAAACAACAGACCGAAAGATAAGTGATATTCTTATCTTCAACAAACTCATTATCTACCAGAATTGTTGAAATGTCTTCATAGTAAACAAAAGGTCAGAAGGAAGCAATGGTAATAAAAGAGGTACAACCAATAATGTAGAAAAGCCAGTGTGTACAGTCCCCCACTGCCTTCACCTTCTCTAGAACCTCCTTCCATTAGTTTACCCTTTTTCTCCTGAGACTTCAGTCTACCCTTCTCTAATCAGTTATTCCTGTTAATATTCAATCTCTAATTATCTCCCATAAAAAAGTTTCTTTTGACCCCACGTTTCCCTCCAGTTACTGTATCATTTCTCTGCTTCTTTCAATATCTAGCTTCTTGAAAAAGCAGGGTCTGCAAATGGCAAGTTTATTTCCTCATCTCCCACTCTCTTCAGTCCCCCAGTCTAGCCTCTGACTCCATCTCCATTTTGTTAAGGGCAAAGAGCACTTTCCTCTGAGCACTCATAGTTTGGTCAGTCCTTCTTTTGAACGCTACCTTTCCCATGTTTTTAAGACATACATCTGTTTTCTCCCCTCCCACCCCAAACCAAGGTCCTTTTTTTCCCTCTCTCTCTTTGCTATACCTTTTTTGATTCCCTCATTAGCTACTTTTGTGATTATATCTATGCTCAAGACTCAGGCACAAGTGGAGACTGCGTAGTTGTGGGATCATAATTATTCTAATAACCAGGATGCTCAAATGGCTAAAATTTTAATGAGGATACATGATTCAATTTATACCTGTCTAGGCAAGGCTATAGTTCTTGTCACCTAAAAGTCAGATGAATTCATTGCAGGGCATATTTTTCTCAAATTCAGGGATTATTCACTCACTTTTTTTACTAAATAAAGAAAATTTAGCATCTGTCCTGTGTCAGGCATTATTGTAGATCCTGAGGATACAATAGTACACAAGACTGACAAGACCCCTGCTTCTATGGAGGATGAAAAGGTAAAGGTTGAGAGGGGTAATAGGGGGAAGTTATGTAGAATTAAGGACATTATCAATATGGATTAAACATGGGATTCTCATCAACGCATATGATAAGGACTGTACACTCCCAGGATAATGTACTATTTTTACCCAGGAATATATGCAAGGACTATACCAACTTGACTTTGCCATATCTCTATACCTCAAGAAATTCTTATAATCAAAAACTAAGGGGAGATCACTCTTCATTTTAAAATGTACCCTTTTAGATAGACTTGGAAAGAATAGGACCTGAATGTTGAAAGTAAACATCAATGGGATAATTGATTTCATTTAAAAACTATTTAGAGCAAAAAAACACAGTTTTACCTCAAAGATCAGTTTCCCCCAGGCACCCATCACATCTCCTGCTAAAAATACGGCTGAGTCATTCTGGTAATGAGAAATTGAGAAACAAATAAATGCCAGGATCCTAATTACCAGGTGTCTGTGGCATCAGGTGCTATACGAGTGTATCAAGAATGTGATTTCTCCTGGTTCCTCAGTACTATGAAGGCTCCCACCCTATGTCCATCTCTCTGAGATCGTGGCATATATAAGAATGACACGGTTTGCTTCAAATCGAAGAATACCAATAATTCTAGTACATTAAAATAACAATTAGCATAAAAATAAGGAAGCTTTTTGTGGTGTATCCTGGCTAGATCTTTTCATTTCTTTGTCTCTTTGGACATTGATTAAATATGATTGTTAATGTCCACTCTGTTTAACTCATCAGGTTGTCACAAGAGAATGATGGGATAAGGGTGAAACTTATGAGTTCTTAGTAAATTACAGAATACATGAACATATGTTTTACAACCATGACCATTTTTATTATAATAACATAAAAAATATTATTGCATGTCTTCCAGATGAAATAATTATATTTATTTTAAAATGCAACTATTTTTACTTAGGCTTTATTATTGTTTTTATGTATGCTTGGAAAATGCCTGAAATCCTTTCTGTTGTAAAGCATCTTAAGAATGTGGAAAATTGAGATCGGTCTGCATAGCTAATTTGAACATGCATATATTGTGGAAAATTAAAGTTTATTCAATAAACCTATTTGATTGAGATTTTGACTACAAGTTGTCATGATAGATAGCCATAGTGAAAGTGATGCTGGATCTCTTTAAAAGATATTTTTGTGACTCTGAAGAATAGCAATTACTAAGCACACTAACAGTGATAAATACCCCAAATTCAGCCTGTCAAAAAAACGAACGGAAGACTGAGAGGAAACCCATGATCGGAATCATCTGTTCCCTTTCCAGGCCTGCTGAACGATGATGAGGATACACCTTTAGGCAGTACATTAATCATCAAATTCTAAAATTGTTTTTTTCTCTCTTCACAGTACCTTTTTGTATTAAAAAGTGACTCTAATTTAAAAAAATGTGACAGACATTCCCCAACGGTTAAAACATGCTAAAAAAAGAGCTTTGAGTAATTTCATCTCCATATTTCAATGATAAGGAGATTAATGAGAAACCTAATCTAGAACTTTAAAGACAAAAAAACTGCCTAGGTATATCTACGAGAAGTAAGATTCTAACTGTATCTGGTGACTCCTTTATCTTTCATATTAAGAAACCTTTAGTTTATAAAGCAAACTTAGGAACGGAAAAATGTTTTTGCTGAAAGTTCAGTTATTTTTAAGTATTCAAAGCAGAAATTATATGTAATCAGTCTATATTCAAATGAAGAAAGGTTAGAACTGTGAACGTGATCCTTTCTGTCCCAACCAAGTAAAGGTGCTGACGGTTCTCCCACACCACCACTTCGGCTTCATAGCATCACTGCCCTTCTGGGTAGTGAGGCTCCCTGTGTGGTGGGAGGGTTCAATAATATCCTGGGACATTGACAGAGGCAGTTTATCACATGGACGTTTCCCACACGGTACGGGTTAGACATCACTCCTGCTTAACTGATTAGCCGATGGTACACATCACGTAGAAGTACAGAATTTGTGTGTCCTTACCTGGGATGATGGCTGTCCTCATGGGAATGATGACAGGGTGGTGCCCAGAGGCAGGCTCAGCCTGCAGAGGAGCGCCTTGGCATGGGCCATGAGAGGGGGACTTGGTGGTCTCAGTGCTGACTCAGGATTTTCAGGTCTGGGCTCCTCACCTTGAGTCCCTCTCCTGGGTCTCATCTCTTCTTTTCCTTCCTTGGTCCACCAACAATGGTTCGGTTCTTTAACTGTTGCTTTTATAATTTGTTGTATTTGGCATAATATTTATGCTCTGCTCTCCTCAAGACTTCACCTTTTGAATTCCAAAAGACCCAGCTCTTACCAGTGAGAAATCTGCCTTCAAGATTACTGTCTCTGCTGTAAGTTTTAAAAGCCCATGTTGGCACCCAAAGGTAGAGTTTGAATAGTCTATATGTCCACCCTGTAGGAGCTCTACATTTTCTACCCTAAAGGTTTAATTTTAATAGGGAAAGCATGTCATAGTAAAAAAATAATAACAGTAAAAAGAATAATAAAAAGAATTGGAAGGATAAATGGGTTAATACATAACAAAATTCTCCCACTACACATACTAGTGTGTCATAGAAAAAACAAACCAAAAACCCTGAGTAGTAATAATGCAGTGGTTGTAATTACCCCACAAATTGTCAACTTCTTTGAATAGTATTTAGTTATTATTTCCCTCTCTTTTAAATGTATAACTCTCCCATAAACTTCAACGTAAGTTAAACACAAGTAAACATGAAAAAAATGAAAGGAATTTTGAACAGTTTTCAAAATGAGGGCGTAATTGATAATATTCAACATGTTTATGTAATACAGTAATAGACTTTTTTGTCAAATTGTCTAAATAATTCTCGGTAACCCAATTTTTGGCAAGTTCAATGGGTTAAAAAAAGGGAGAGGTCACAATATGAATACCGTGAGTGAATGAATGTGCACAGGCCAATCAAAGGGTGGCTGCTTTAATGTTGGGGTTGGGCCCTGGGGCTCCTGATGAGGCAAGCATTCCCTCTTAAGTTGCTAGATTCAGAAGCATGCAGGGATTCCAGAGATGTGGAGACTGAGCCAGGGTAGCTGAAGCAATGGAAAGAAAACTTCGTGGGTTTGAAACAGCAGTTATTTATTAACAGATGGCAGCAGTGCCTACCGGCTGACTATCAGCCTTGGTTATCAGCCTGTGGCCGAGTGAGTTTTTTTTGTCAGCCTTGGATGTTAGCACTGTTGCATGTCTTTGTTTTTCCAAATCAGAAATAATCAGGTTCAATCCCAGCAGCTCTTGGGCTGGACACAAAGTTCACCTCAGTTCCTGTGAGGAGGAGAAGTGGTCCCAGTCTTCTCCTTTTTTCCCTTCCTTCTTCTACCCACTTCTCATCTTTTCTCTCTAGAGTCTGTGTCGTTGTGGGGTAAATGGAGCAAATCCTATCTACCTCACATTTGGGGAGGTGTAGCATGGAAATGGGGTTTTGATTCCTCTACTCTATCCCTCTTGCGTATTTTAGCTCACAGGTAGAGGCATTTCCAACCATTCACCACAAAGCCCAGCCTCTTTTTCTAACCTTCTGAGAGCATCCAGTTTTCTTCCTCCAAAATGGGCCTGTAACAAAGGACTGTTACCTACCGGGGTAAGGGTTTGCAGTTTCCTAGTATTTGGAACTTCGAGGAACTCGGTACTGATACACAGGGAGAAAGGAAATTCTTTGAATTTATGCAAGGAAAAACACAACACATGTATTATAATTCACCCAAGCACATAATAACCCATCCTAGTTGCTAAATTCTTAGTCTTCGAGATCAAGGATTGTCCTCTGTTTACGTGTCTCTTTTCAGAGAGTATCACCTCACGCCAGTGACATTCACTAACCATTTGTTAAATTAATTAAGTAGAGAAGCAATCTTACCTGAAAATTCCCAACTGGTTTATTTCCTGATGACTACAAGCATCTTTTTTTCTTTAGGATCAACTGCTCATTTTTTTTAAAAGCAATCATTAAAGTTGTTGCTTGAGGTTTGTTTGGTAAAAGAGTATTTCTAAAACATCATTAAAATAAAAAAGCATCTATTAATGGTCCTTGTTCACTTAACCCCTGAAGTGAGTTTAAATGATTCAGTTAGTTTCTTATAGTCAAAAATATTTCTACATAGACCGTGTAAATAAATAGGCACTAAATTACTATCAGGGTCCTTCTGATATAATCAGGTAACAATTAATGAAAACTAAATTACTAGCATATGATTATCTAATTTGCCTTTCTTGTCCTTGATTGTCCTTGATATTTATGAAAATGGTAACTAAGCAGCACAAAAAACTGAAATTTAAAAGAGAAGTAATTACTTTGAATTGCTCAAACATTAAAAACTCCACCATTAATAACTCTTAAATGTATTCATTAACTCATTTATTCATCATCATTGATTTGATAAAAGTGAGTTTTTAAGGGCACCATAGTGCCCTTCTTGCTGCCCTCCTCTCCCCCATGTCTGCCCAGTCCGGGTGTGGCTCCCAGGGGAACACTGAGTGGGGCTGCAGGTGAGGTGGCCTGGATGGGAAGAGAGAAGGCGGGGCCTCTGAAAACCAAGTGAGAAATATAAAGTTTGCCTGCTTGATTTTGCAGGTGAACTTTAGTCTCAGTGGATTGAAAGCATACCTTACGCACTTGTAATTATTCACCAGTTACTTGCATACCTTTTATGTACTAGAATAAAATGTTGCAGCTATTCTGTTTTGTCATTAGAGAATAATCATCTGTATGTCTTCAATTTGTGCCAAACTGAATATATTCACACACCCCAGTTACTGCTCATCATTGAATATACCCTATACTATCTACATTATCTCCCCATGTAAGTGAATGATGGCTACCTAAGTTTAGAATTGCATTGTCAATAACTTGTTTGACAATTATATATGTTGAGCACTAATGGTTGCCTAGACTTGGCTATTGGAAGTAAATTCATAAAATCAGCCACTATTTTTAAGGAGTTCATTCTATATTTGGCTCTTCTACCTAAAAGGTTTATTTGAGAACACATGAAGTTTATTTCTTCAGAGTTTGCTACAGCGACAGTGAGCACCGGCACTTGTTGTTTGGCAGATCAAAGACAGACAGAGGAATGAGAACGTTTCACAGAAAAGGGAAGGCGGATGCCTTGATTAGAGGGTTGGTGTGGGGAAGCTGCAGGTGGGCAAGCCAGGGCTGGGCATCCTGTGTGATAGTTTAGAGAAGCGTATCTGGCTTTCTCTGATTGATTTTAACTTGAAGGAGCAAAAATTAGGGAAGCTGTCAGTTATTAATCAAGTCCTGGCCATTTGGGGCCAACTTTTACAGGAGTTATTGTTTAGCTTCCTACGTTGTTACTAGAGATAGCGGTCTGACTTCCTACAAGTCTGACATATAGGCAACAGCCTGGCTTCCCGAGCTGCTTACTGTAGAGAATCAGTTGGTTTCCCGGACTTGTGGCTGCAGAATGTAGAATTCTGTTTTTGTATATGGTATGGCCATTGTCCATTTATATATTCAGTCTCTCAGTAACCATGAATAATAATGACTCACTATGATACTTTTAACACTAATTGACTGGGAGATTTTTTATATCAATGGCATTGCTTTTCTTCCTACAGTAATTAGATTTGCTTATACCTTGCTTTTATTATCCTATTACTCTGAGGAAGTCTGACCTGCTCAATTCTTGTAAGTTTTCTTTAAAAACTTACTTTACTTTAAAAAAAAGAGAAGTACTTCCTTGAATGTAATTCTCTAAAATCATCAATCATAATCACATGCTTCTATGAATTTTATGCTACTATTTAAGTCTAAGACAGGAATTTAAAAGTAGCATAAATCACTTGAATAGAAGTGCTTAAAAAGAACTGCATATGCTTGGTCAAGAAATTTAGTGGAAGTGTTATTTCCAAAATTTAGTTCCTTATTTTTTGTCACAAATTAAGAAATACTGCAATAAAAATGAATTTCTTTTTTAAATCTGATTATTTCAATTGAGTAATTCTAGGGAGGGGGTGAAAAGTTTATATGACACATTTGAAATTTAAGGAAAACAGGGTTTTCTGTTTTTATTATCTAAGCATGATTGACAGATGACCTAGAGAATGAAGTATGTATAAGAATTAAAGTCAATTGTTTAGAAATCTTGTATCTTTCTAAACTGTTTTAATTTAAAATTGCAGACTTCTAAGACTCAAAATTTTGTCACTATCTGTTTCTGTTATTTGAAGTTAATGAATGCTAAGTACTACAAACTGGGTGGCTTTAAACAACAAATTTTTTCTCCCACTCTTCTGGAGGCTTTAAGTCCAAAATCAAAGTGCCTGTAAAGCCATGCTACCTCCAGTGGATCTAGGAAAGACTATTTCCTTGGCTCCTCTAGCTCCTGGGGTTGCCAGCAATCTGGTATTTCTTTGTTTGTGGCACCATAATTCCAGTCTTTGCTCCAGTCCTTATATAAGTTTTTTCCCTGTTTCTGTATATGTCTCTGTGTCCAAAATTACCTCTTTTTATGAGGATACCAGTCATTGGATTAGGGGCTCTGCTGTTCTATTAGGACTTCATCTTGATTATACCCCAAAAGGCTTTATTTCCAAATAAGGTCACATTCACAGGTACAGAGAGTTAGGACTTCAACATACCTTTTTTGGAAGACACAGTTTGACCCACATTGCCTGGCTCTTAGCGTAGCTCTGGGGCAGGAAGCATGTTCCCAGCCGAGACAAATAAACCAGTGTGACCAAAATCAGTCTAAGGAAAGGCTAGGTGGTTTATTACTCATGATGAGGCCCAGCTTCATTCGTCCCCTCTGGCCACCACTCTTGCTCCCTGTCCCGCCAGCCACAGAGTGCCCAGTTCCCCACCCACCCCTTCTGGGAGAAACTCCTCCCACAGATCCCCAGGGATGGACAGGCGCCAGACCAATTATGCAACAGAGGTGAGGAGAGAACAGCCTCTCTCCACCCCATGAGCCAGAGGCAGCCAGAAGAAACACCTATTAATATGTAAATGGACTAAAGCCAGGTGAGAAATTCTGAAACTACTGCAGTTTTATCCCACACTTAGCATCTACTAATTTTAGTTATCTTAAATGGAGCTTTATCCTTTTTAGCTTAAAGCTTTAAATCTCAACATTTAGCAGATATAAAGTCATCAGCCTGAAGGAACCCTAAGAGATATAGAAAGATGGACACCCTTATCATCTTTTGTTACATTTATCAAACACTAGGCAGTTCAAAAAAACTATATGTTCCATACCATTATTACTTCCAATTTAGGGAGTAACTAAGTGTTGTGAAGTAAATTAAACTTGATTTTTCACAATTATTGAATTGTTTCAGGTAGTTATAGTTAGATATTACAATATAAGGTGTTATAAGAAATATACATATTTGCTCATTCAGATGACCAAATATATATATATATTTCCCAGGTATATTTGATTTTCATCCAAGGTTCCTGAAAACACTTCAGAGCCTTAAAGGTGAAATGGGTGTCTTACTGTGTTAATGAGAGATTTTGGGACCCACCCAAGGGCAGGGGGGCTGGAGGTAGAATCGGCCCCTGGCCAATGACTTAGTCAATCATGACTGCATGAAGCCCTCACAAAAACCCAGAAGAGCTCAGCTCTCTCACACATCCTGCTTCTCTGTTGGAGAGAGTTTCTAGGCTTGAGGAACCAGAAAGCTTCCACGTGCCCTGAGTCAGGCCCCAAGTGCCACAAGGATAGAAGTTCCTTCATTTGGAACCTTGCCCTGTGCATCTCTTCATCTGGCTGTTAACTTATATCATTTACTTTATCCTTTATTAAACTGGTCAACATACATGCTTCTGAGTTCTGTGAGCCACTCTACCAAATTAATCGAACCCAAAGGGAGGTGGCTGGAGGTTGGTCAGAAGCACAGTAACAGCCTGGTGTGTGGGGGTGGAGGGCAGTCTTGTAGGATGGAGCCCCTGACCTGGGAAATCTGGTGCTGTCCTAGGGCAGATAGCCTCAGGGTTGAGTTAAGTTCTTGGACACCCTGTTGGTGTTTGATAATTGCCTGGGGTCATGTGTGGGAACAACCCCTCACACACACACACACACACACACACTCACACTCACACTCATATACACACATGCACTGGGATTGGGTCTGATATAAAATCTTCAGCCTCAAGGAACCCAAAAGACGTTAGTGTGGATTCAGATATCATTGAGAATCAATTTTTCTCCTGGTAGCATGAATTACAATGCACTCAAGTCTCCTAGTGAATTTTTTCTCATAGTTCCCAGCAAGTAGGTACAAACATAGTCATATCACCTGTTATATATGCTTGATGAAATCTGAGCTCTCCATTGTTTTAAGGACTCTGACAGCGCATATCACAGGCACAGTAGCACAAATCAACTGATCTCCTGTTTGGAGTCAAGTGAGAAAATCCTCTAATAAGGGTCTTAACACAAAGCTATCGGAAGTCTTTCTAGCCTGAGTCATTCTAAGAGGTATACACTATTTAGATATGCTACATCCTTATATCTGTTCACACAAGGATATGTGTACTTACATCATTTCTACATAGGCTACATATCTTGAACAGTATTCATTCTACCAAAGGAGAGAGACCTTTGAAGAAACCAAAAGTGCTGGCATCTTGTTCTTGGACTTCTAGACTCCAGAAATAGAAGAAAATACATTTCTGTTGTTTAAGCTGCCCAGTCTGTGGTGCCTTATCATGGCAGCCTTAGCAGACCATTTCTCTTTCTTCCACTCCCTCTGGGCTGCTCTCTCCTCAGGTTTAGACCGAACACTCTTTTAACAACCTACTGAGTTTTCATTTACAGACAGTAAATGTACATATTAAAAGGACACCATTTGATGAGCTTTGACACATGTACATATATGTAAATTTAAAGCCATCATCACAGTCAGAATAACAAATACGGACAGTAGAGAATGTATTCTTTATTATTGCCTCACCTTTTCACCGACATACTGATCTTGGCATCCATCCATATTTTGGGTGCCTATGTAGTCTGTTGCCTTTTTGTTGCTGAGTATTATTCCAGTGCATTGACATTTTATATATGTGTGGGTTTCTTAAATTCATTTTATTATCATTAATCTACAATTACATGAACAACATTATGGTTACTGGACTCCTCCCTTCACCAAGTCCCTCCCCACAAACCCCATTACAGTCACTGTCCATCAGCGTAATAAGATGCTGTAGACTCACTATTTGTCTTCTCTGTGTTGCACAGCCCTCCTTATGCCACCCCCACATTATACATGTTAATTGTAAGGCCCCCTTTCTTTTTCCCTGCCCTTATCCCTACCTTCCCACCCCTCCTGCCCAGTACTTTTCCCTTTGGTAACCGTTAGTCCATTCTTGGGTACTGCGATTCTGCTGCTGTTTTGTTCCTTCAGTTTTTCTTTGTTCTTATACTCCACATATGAGTGAAATCATTTGGTACTTGTCTTTCTCCACCTGGCTTATTTCACTGAGCATAATACCCTCTAGCTCCATCCATGTTGTTGCAAATGGTAGGATTTGTTTTCTTCTTATGGCTGAATAATACTCCATTGCGTATATGTACCACATCTTCTTTATCCATTCATCTACTGATGGACACTTAGGTTGCTTCCATTTCTCGGCTAT